ATGAAGGATGAAATGATTCTAACAAAATCTAGCGCATGGTAATGAGTTTTCCTTTGTCAAGTTCCCTGGAAATCATATTAGTTCAGCTTTACACGCCAATATTTACAAACTGATGTCACGTAGCGGCATGAAATTTAAACAGGCGTTTCTCGTATTTAATTCCGACAGTGTCGACATGCAGTTATATCTGTTTGCAACATAAATCTATGACGTGAGGCTCCGTTAATATATCAGTGTCGGTACGCCACGCGCGACCGACGGACTCGTCGGTTGCTGCCCGCCATCTGCGTCGGCTGTGGAACACCGTGCAACATTCCCAAAAATGATCGCCGCTTATCAGAAACCGGAATTGCCAGAGACACGTATTGTTTGTTAAGACATACGAACTGAATATCCCGAAAGCTGCCAAAAACTCGGCACGACTGCAGGACCTGGCGGAAAAAAATATTCACGGAAAACCTTAGAGGGGGCGGCATCGACCCCACCCACCACCCGTCCGCCTATAACTCACCGTGTGGACTGTCCGTGGGGGCAGACCATGCGATTTCGGTTCCCCAATAACTCGAAGCAATCATTCGCTGCCACCTGCCTTGCGAATGTGGTGCCCAGAGCGCTGGCAGGCTATACTGTACCGCCATACGCGAGAGCCCCTACGGAGAGCTCAACGCAGCACAGCTCAGGAAGCTGCCCGAGCCGGGGTCGGCGCGGCACGAGTGCCGTTCATGTTGTGCATTGACTGGTAAGCACATCTAATGAAAGAATGGCGGGCGGGTTTCCGCATTGTTTAGGTTAATTTGCATGACTCCACTGAGCTTCTTGAGGCAACTTTTCCCTTTTTGGGGATGGTAGAGAGAAGAGTCTTGCTGGGGCTTCGTGCCAGGACTTCGCAAAATTTAACATTACGCCTGCTCTGGAAACAATGTTGTTATTGACGTAACATCAAGTTAACAGATTAAACTGATGAAATCGTTTTAGCAGTACATGTGATAGCTATGATATCTCCTTTATCTGTTTCGCGATGTTTCTTTTCGCTGCCTGTTCGCTCTTAAAGATGCAATACGTCTTCAAGTTTCAACAAACATTTTTTGACCCGACATCGCAATGTTGGCCCCCAACACTTGCCTGCGACGCAGCCTCCGTTCGTGTCTTCCCAGTAACCCGATTGTTAGAAAAATTTGCCACGTGCTGAGCACGGAGAGTTCTAGGAAGCTGGTGCTGATCGCACAATAATGCGCTTAACGAGACGCCACCCTAATAACGCCAGCTCCTGTCGGTGGGCTTTCGAACTGGAGCCCTCAGGCTTATCGCGCCATGATTTCCGCGATAAACTGCAAAATGTTGCTGGTAATGGCCCCGGAATCCGATCAAATGATATCGCCCATTCAACACTGATCGAGACTTGTGATGATAAGTCAGCAGCCGACCGTTCGTTCCGACCGTTCGTTGGTGGTTTCAGCAGCCGACCCGGGTCGCTCGTTGCGAGGTGGTTTCTATAGTCTCGAGTAGACTGGCGGACGTGACTGATCGAGGATATCTGAATCTGGATTTTATTCACATCGACACAATCGACGGCGGAGGCTGATGACTTGGCATAACCACCGCTTACTGCTCGCTGAAACCCGCCAAGAAACCGGCCCGAACTTCATTCCGAGATAACCTTTGATTCGGCCTCTTGACCGTGAACTTGATCAGCAGACATGACGAGGACCACACTTGTGAAGGGCTTCTCGACATTGTGATACGACGCGAGATATACGTAGGCATGCACCCAGCGGCGCTCAGAAGCGAGAAAGTCGAGAAAGAACGGAGTCTGGCGGCGATACGCTCAACTCGGTTACGGCCTTCCTTGTAGTCCTCGGCAGAAATAGCAATGCCAGTATTGTGCTGTATGAACACGTGCTCGGGTGGTGGGTCAAATTGACTCTCAAAGGTTTTTTCCGGAATGGTTCCGAACGGCGCGGCAGAACCGGAACAAATTTTGGACAGCCGTAAACAGTTGAATAGCGGATCGTTTGGTAGAACAAATTTAGATATCCCTTGTAAGGTCGCTGACCTATGGCAGGTCAAATCAGGCCGTGGTTCAGCGAAGTCAATTTTTGGGGAATCGCTCAATCTGATGCAACAACGGAGTGTTACACGGAGCCATACATCTCTGAGATGCTTTCTTAGGCCACACAAATATTGAATGAGCAAATTTTGTTGACCTGAGGTCAGGTATGAAGGTCAGACCAAGGTCAAAGTCAACCTGCTTTATTACTCTAGGGCTGTCTGTATGGGATAATTGCTGGTGCTCACTTTGAATTTACTGATAGCAGGAACCGCACTATACATCTTCTATAGACTTCCTAGAGGTCAAAATAGGTCATTGATCTAAGATGCCTCAGGCTGACATTTTGTTTTTGGGAACATGCTCACCAGCGTAATCTTTGTCGCTTATTAAAATGCAAAACTCAGAGCAGTATTGTATAATTTTAGTCACCATGACGTTCAATAGGTCGAACAAGGTCATTGACCTTAAATGGGCTTGTGACCTTTTGCTTAGAAACAGTTATCTAGGTTATGTGGGCACTTAAGAGACCACCTAGAACTTGACATTGTTTGACCTTATTTAACCCGAGGGTCATGACCTAGGAACCTCAAAATTTGACCTAAGTGAGTTCACGTACAGGTCAACACACTCTGTACCTTTATTGTCTCTAGCTCTCTTAGTTCTTGAGGTCTCAGGGGTGTTCAAATTGACCCCCACCCGAGCGAAGGGTATTCAGCCGGCCACCCGGGCGCGTGTTAACACGCGCTCGGGCAGGGGTCAAATTGACCCCCTCAAGGTTTTTCCAGAATGGTTTCCGAACGGCGCGGCGCAGCCGTGTCAAATTCTGCATAGCTGTAGACAATTGAATAGCGGGTCGTTGGGTATAACCAATTTAGATGTACCTTTTAAAGTCGCTGTCCTACGGCAGATCAGTCAGGCCACGGATTCTGCGAAGTCGATTTCTAGGGAACCGTTCAATCTGATGGAACAACGGAGTGTTAGACGAAGCCACACATATCTGAGACACACGCTTAGGCAACACAACAATTAAATGAACAAATTCAACTGACCCAAGGTCAGTTTTGAGGATCAGACCAAGGCCAAAGTCAATCTGTTTCACTACTCTAGGGCTTGCTGAGTGGAGTAGTTTCTGGCGCTCATTTTGAATTTATTGATAGCAGCGGCCGCATTATACATCTTCTATGCGGTTCCCAAAGGTCAAATGGGTCAGTGACCTAACATGGCCTAGGTCAACATTTTGTCTTCAGGAACATACCGCCTAACGTAATCTAAGCCGCTTATTTGAATGCAAAACTCAAAGCAGTCTTGTATAACTCTGTTCACCATGACCTTTGAAAGGTCAAACAAGGTCACTGACTTTAAGTGATCATGCAACCTTTTGCTTAGAACAGGTGTCTAGATTCTGGGAGCACTTAGGAGACCAACCTAGAGGTTGATGTTATTTGACTTTATTTGACCCGAAAGTCATGACCTAGGAACCTCAAACCTTGCCTTGAGTAAGCTCAGATACAGGCCAACACGCCCTGCAAATTTGATATTTCTAGCTCCCTTAGTTCTTGAGATCTCATGGCGGTCAAATTGACCCCCAACCGAGCGAAGGGTACCCAGCCGGCCACCCGGATGCCTGTCAAGAAATCAGGAAAAGCCTTGCTTGATTATCCGTTTTGCAGCAGTAGCGGTCTTATCAACAGCAGCGATGCTGTGCGAGTTGTTTGGCGACCGGGTAGATAATATATAAAATGTTCATTAATCCCTCGCACGCACGCACCGCTTTCTAGCGCAGGCGCAAAGAGTACAATGGACACGGATGTCGCGCTGAAGAAGTCGGCGTAATGAATCTTGTCATTGAACTCCGCCGCGCGCCAAAAAGCCTTCTCCAGGGCGCGCACTACTGATCGATGAGTCCGGGTTTGCGTCAGAGCTGTTCATTACCTTCGCTACTTCTCGCTCCGCTTCCCTAGCAGCCGTTTGTCAAAGTGCCGCCGCGCTGGTATTGATCCGAGGTTTCAGTCGGCGCATCGCCTCCTTACCTCAGCTGAACACCCAGCTATATAGATCATCCTGCTCTTTAGTTATGGCTGACGTCACCGCGTCCATCTCACGGTAACAATTAAGAAATCACGTAAGAAACAAGGGTGGGCAAAAATTCAGCAAGTGGCGAATGAAAACCAGCCTCCGCCAGGCATCATGAGCCTAATTAGCTCCAGCTTTTCTTGGGAAACCTCGGACTGTCTCCTCATAGCACTATGGCAGATTAATGTTTTAGGGGTACCATCGCTTGTCAGCGCTCTCGGCAGAGCACCAGTCTCATACACTGATATTGTATTGCCTTTATCAATCGTATTGTTGTAAGCTTTTGTGAAAGATCGTCTCACTCGCTGCTAATAGATTTTTGAAATGGTTTGACGCTAGACGTGGAAATCATTGCACTGGGCCAAGCTTCTCAAGTATCCTGCATTCGTCGGAATATTTCCAGCCTGTGCTAGTCGAGCCCGTTTAACTGCAGTGGAGACCATGCCAGCCGCAGCTGTTAGCAGCAGCAAGGACAGCAAGCTAGCAAACTGAAAAAAAAAACACAGCATTCACTAGTTAGCAGCCCTGAGCATGTTCATACGTATGCCTATTGAGCACCTAACATGTATTTCATGTTTGACGATTTTCTAGTTCTTTCAATATTCCACCGGCTGCTCCACGGCGGGTTAGAGGTTGGGAGAGTAGAAGTATTTGATTATATCTGTCTCGTATGTTGCTAGTGACCCCTAGGAGTTCTAGCTGCCCAAGTGACATGTGACTCTAAGTAACTGCGGTAACTAGAACAATCTTCCATGACCTATGACGAACTCTCCTGATCCCTCACGACTGTCCGTGACCTATCATGAGCCCTTGTGAACCGCCTGGTCCCTCATAACCCCGCGCGCCCTCTGGTGACCCAGGCAACCTCTTGTCGCAGATGCCGGGCGGAGATGACGGAATCAAATGTCTGGCGGATCTCATCTGCGGATCGGTCACCATGAGCGCCGACACGGGCCACCACGTACGTCTGCTCGTGCTGGGCGGCCCGCAGGTGGGCAAAACGTGCATCTGCCGCCGCTTCCTGCACAACGAGTTCGACGAGCGGTACAAGCCGACGCTGGAGGAGCAGTACTCGCGGACCTACCAAATGAGCGGCACCAGGCTGCGCGTCGACATACTGGACACGTGTGGTGATAACAGCTTCCCGGCTATGAGGAGGTGAGAACACAACACATAGACTGAAAATCCAGGCCACTCAACTGTAATTCGGAACAGAGCACTAGTTTTGTGGAGAAAAAAAAACGTGAGAAAGAGACGAGAACAATGGGATGGGTAAGCGACACCTTTGGAAGCAGATCAGGCCTAGGGATGATTGAAGGTCAGTTGTAATCACTAACTGGAACAAGGTGATCTCCCATGTGCAGCTGATCCTAGAATCTAGCGATGAATGGCTGTGGAACATGATCTTCCAATTAGCATCGTGCCTTCATCAAAACTGTACGATCGTAATTATGAAATGATCTTTAAAAATCTTATCAAAAGCGGTAACTTTGGAAATGATACGCGTACCTGGACTCGCCTAGTGCTTTCTTTTTACGTTGGTGTGCCTCGCCCTTAGTGAACAACGCCCACTTTCAACGCTACAAGACCTGCGGGTAACGAGTGCGGAGAATGAGCGAGGCCGCAGCCAGGGATCGTATCGCGCACACCCGATGAATATGATACCGAATACCGAGTATCGCATGCCAAATGGGATTGCCACATCAGACCGTACAACCGGCTATGGCCGTGCAGAGCCCAATCAACTCTCCAGATCCGCTTTGGAACTTGTCCAGCAGCTGACGTAAGCTTCGTCTTTTTCGCTGCGTTGCTCGCAGTCATTAGTGCCCGCCATTCGACACCCAACAATTCTGGTGAGTGGTGTTGATAATCGCGGCACGATTTTAAGAGCCATAAACTGAAAACACGATAAACACCATAAATGCATGCATGCCGCCGAACTGTAGGCTCCGTTGGCTGTTGGACGGAAACTTAGCATAAATCCAGGTATTTTATTGCTGGCACAGTCATGTGGTTATTCATTGAGTGCTGCAAACTTCTCCCATTAATTTTTCGAGGCTAGGCTTTTTAATTCAGTTCAGTGCGCTTTTCAAACATTCCCAGCCATCTGGAAATAAGACGGCCCTTAGAAGACACTTTGACAAGGCCTACACAACACAGAAATTCTATTTATATCTGCCATATTTATATCTGCTAAAGGGCAGTCACAACACCACAAAACGTCATATTTGATGAGAAAGTTGGATTATAAACCCTTCTGTCGAGATGAAAATGCACTCGTCTGGGCCTGATACGCCAGATTTAGCTGAGCAGCTTTCACTGCGAACACAGCACCGATGATCAAGCTAAAGCCTTGGGCGTTTTTGACGCGTCACACTAGCCTCTTTTACGCTGGCATTTATTACATGGTACCTCATTTGGTCCCGCCATATTTCACTGACATTTAGTTCTAAAATGCAACGAAAATGGAAAAAGCAGGGAGCGAAAGCCATCGTTTGTCGTCGTGCTTATCCAAAAAGCCAAAGAACGTTGCTCTGAAAGCGTGTTTATTTCGTGACCAGGCATCCCTTCGCAATTCTGCGTTCGTGTAGTTGGTCCCAAGAAAACAAACCATAACGTAATCCAAAGGCGAAATGCTGGGCAGGCGCATGCTGATTTAACAAATGCACCTAACTGTACGGTTATTTTAATAGCACTGACAATAAACCACAGGTTTGGGCTTATCCACAGGCTTATCGCATTCTTTGAGCATTTGAGATTTAGTACCAAATTACAGCCCCGATGACGAATTTTTGAAAACAGTTAAATCTTGGATCTCTATGAACATGCACACCTTTAGAGGTCTATAGCTTGTACCACAAATTGAAACGGGTAAAAATTAATCAGCAATGAACCGAAACTATGAGTCGTTCCCACACCATAACCTCCCTAAAAATTCTCGATTCCTGAGAATAAAACGCTGTGACCTTATGATTCTAAAAGAAACAATCGGGAAAAGGGCCACAGGAACATGTGCATTACATGTTCATGTTCATGAACATGTTCACCGCAACACGACTCCCGGATCCCTTCGTGGAAGACGAGGAGTCCGTTTTCCTGTGATAGTCGACAAAATCTCTTCCCATTTCGGTCTGCAAGGGCTGGTGAGTGGTGAGGAAGCGGCTAGGCTGATGCCCGTACCGGTCTCGTAGTCTTCAAGGCGAGCAGGTGACCAAAGGAGGGCAGAGGAAAAGCTTTGACAATGGCTGACCTGTCAGCCTGATGGGATGGAGTTATCAAAACGGTTTGCGTAAAACTAGGAACTGAACAAACGAAATTAACCCTGGGGTAGCTTCTCGTAACTCAGAAATGGTGATGGAGGGTAATAGCCAGGGAAGTCAAAAGATGTTGCGCTGGGCGGGGGCTACCCAAGGGAGTATAATCATACATTTTCTTGATCCGATTATCCCAGTGAACGACGACGCGCACCCGGAAATGTTGCGGGAGACGACGTGGTCCCATTTGAGCTCGTTCACGTGAACGCACCTGGGTATGTCCACGTAGCGTTCCTTCCCATCAGTCAGTATCCAGGCGTGGGCCTGCTGGCCATGTTGAGCTATGAGCGTACGGTGCGTACTGAAATTCAAGCGCCCAAGCCCGTGATGAAATCACACGGCGGTGGTATAAACTCAATGCTCATAAAGCTCCCAGATATTTTCAATGGGCATGTATGCTTTTCACTGAGAATTGTGCATGTCTACTGCTCAGCAAGGACCCATAACAAGCTCTTTGGAAATACTCGCTGGTTGGCAACTACTCCCTTGGAATGAAAAACGCATATTTCCTTTAGGATGTAGCGCCAGGTGAGCTACGGTGAGTGATCTGCTTGGAAATCAAATGCTTTATACAATGGTGCTTAATATGGCCGGCCTTTTCAGCTATGTTCTCGACAACAGTTTGAAAAGAGCATTCATTTCTCCGGCATCTTAAACACGTTTTCCTATTCGGGGTCTAGCTTGATCACAACCACTGTTACAGGAGTGATTCAGTTATCAGAATTTCCACAAAGGCCGCGGAATCCCTGACGCAAGCCCCGAGTAATAACGACGTTGCTGCTTGCGATAGACGACGTTTGACTGCGTGACTATCTCCGATAGGGCGATTTTTTGTTATGGCGCTTTCATTCAGGTGTCGCTGAATGGAATCCCAGAGGCTGGTGAAGCGCTTAGACAGTAAGCCCGGCATGGTAACGGAAGTTCGCGTTAAGGGGGGGGAGGGGGATAGACGAATAAGAACCTCGACGCAGCGCCGGTTGCAATTACCAGTGCAGTGCTTCCAAGGCAACGCCATCATTGTCTGCTTTGTAGCACTTTCCTCGCCAAACAGCGGCTTTCCAGACGTCCCACAGTCTTTGAAAGTCCGCGACTCTCAGTTTGGTCGGGTCGGTGGCAACCGCCTCTCCCCTCTCCTCCACCCAGCTCTCCTCTGGCTCCCTCCCCTTGACGTCGCACTCTTGCCACCGCAGGGTGTCGATCGTGAACGCGCAGGCGATCATGCTGGTCTACAGCGTCGACAGCTACGCCTCGTTCCTGCAAGCGATCGACGTCTTCGCCGAGATCCGGGAGCTTCGTGACGACTTCCGCGAGATCCCAACCTTCCTGGTCGGCAACAAGAGTGATGTGGCCGCACTGCACCGCGAGGTCAGCAGCCGCACCGCCTCCAGCTGGTTCTACTCCAAGATGTCGCGCAACAGGTGAGCGAGGCGGGGTTTGAGATTGGGTGGGCAAGGTCACCCGGAGGTCAGGTGATGCGCGGAAGACGACGCATGGCTCTTGTTGGTCGCTGTGCTGACGACTCTTGGATGCTCTTGATGAATACCTTTACCGTCCGCAAATTGTGAGCCAAGGAATGCTTGACGACGTTACTAGACTCTACTCTATGCTTTAATAACTCATTGCACCATGATGCACTGCAATCACCCAATCATGCAATCAAACGCCATGCATCATTGCACTGCGGAAGCACATAAAACGGACCCTCACTTGCATAACCATTATCTTTCGGCACCAAACATGCAGACCTTCATCGTCCGGCTGCGATGCCTGTCTAGTGCTGTAGTTTCCAGAATAACCAGAACTTTTTTCGAAATGATAGATATAACACAGTCTTGATAATTGCCTGGTACTTATAACGCGTTGGCTAATATATGAGCACAAGACTTTACCCGATGGGGAGTTTGATGGGGACTCGGTAGGCAAAACAAGTGGCACATCGGGTGCCCGGTGCGTTCCAATAGCAACCCTCTTCAGTCATCTCTTCCCACCACACGAACCAGTCCTGTTCCCACTGAGGTCGCGCTCTGAGGAAGACAAGTCCGCCTGACCACGGCTGCCCCGCCCCGCCTGACCACGGCTGCCCCGCCCCGCCTGACCACGGCTGCCCCGCCCCGCGTGACCACGGCTGCCCCGCCCCGCCTGACCACGGCTGCCCCGCCCCGCCCGACCACGGCTGTCCCACCCCGCCTGACCACGGCTGCCCCGCCCCGCCCGACCACGGCTGCCCCGCCCCGCCTGACCACGGCTGCCCCGCCCCGCCCGACCACGGCTGTCCCACCCCGCCTGACCACGGCTGCCCCGCCCCGCCCGACCACGGCTGCCCCGCCCCGCCTGACCACGGCTGCCCCGCCCCGCCCGACCACGGCTGCCCCGCCCCGCCCGACCACGGCTGCCCCGCCCCGCCTGACCACGGCTGCCCCGCCCCGCCCGACCACGGCTGCCCCGCCCCGCCTGACCACGGCCGTCCAACCCCGCCTGACCACGGCTGCCCCGCCCCGCCTGACCACGGCCGTCCAACCCCGCCTGACCACGGCCGTCCAACCCCGCCTGACCACGGCTGCCCCGCCCCGCCTGACCACGGCTGCCCCGCCCCGCCTGACCACGGCTGCCCCGCCCCGCCTGACCACGGCTGCCCCGCCCCGCCCGACCACGGCCGCCCCGCCCCGCCTGACCACGGCTGCCCCGCCCCGCCTGACCACGGCCGCCCCGCCCCGCCTGACCACGGCTGCCCCGCCCCGCCTGACCACGGCTGCCCCGCCCCGCCTGACCACGGCTGCCCCGCCCCGCCTGACCACGGCTGGCCCCGCCCCGCCTGACCACGGCCACCCCGCCCCGCCTGACCACGGCCACCCCGCCCCGCCTGACCACGGCCGTCCCGCCCCGCCTGACCACGGCCGTCCCGCCCCGCCTGACCACGGCCGTCCAACCCCGCCTGACCACGGCCACCCCGCCCCGCCTGACCACGGCCGTCCCACCCCGCCTGACCACGGCCACCCCGCCCCGCCTGACCACGGCCGTCCCACCCCGCCTGACCACGGCCACCCCGCCCCGCCTGACCACGGCCGTCCCACCCCGCCTGACCACGGCCACCCCGCCCCGCCTGACCACGGCCGTCCCGCCCCGCCTGACCACGGCCGTCCAACCCCGCCTGACCACGGCCGCCCCGACCCGCCTGACCACGGCCACCCCGCCCCGCCTGACCACGGCCGTCCCGCCCCGCCTGACCACGGCCGCCCGACCCGCCTGACCACGACTGCCCGACCCGCCTGACCACGGCCGCCCCGCTCCACAGGGGTCGGTTCACCGAATGCTCAGCGCTGACGGGCACCAACGTGGCGGACATCTTCCACGTGTACCTGGTGCTGGCGGGCATCCCGCTTCCCAGCGCGGGCCCCAAGCGGCAGCTCTCGCTGCGCCTGTCGCGCAAGCGCAGCGAGAGTCCGCCGGTGCACTTGTCGCCGCAGCGCACGCCCGCCCAGATCGGCGAGGCGGCCATGGTGAGTGCCTACCGACGCTGGGCTGGCGGCACGGCAGCGCCTGGCAAGCGCTGGTCACGTGTGCGTGGCTGAGGAGATGGGAGAGGCACAACAGCCTCGTGATGAGTTGGGTAGGTTCCGTGTTGTTCCGTCGCGAGAGGTGGTGTCAAAGCCAGCGGGATCACAGTGACCCAAGTCGCATGCCGCTGGCAGATGCACTGTGTGACGTTCCGGCACGCCTAGCGGGAAACAGTCAGCCAGATGGTGGTAACGCCAGCTGAGGGGTTCGTGTGAGGCTTACAATACCACTGTGACACTAACCAATGTATCGCATTACCTATCCTACATCAATCATCAGTCGAATTTGTCATATTGCCGCATTTGTCTCGAAGTTGCCTCATCCTGTCATCAGTCGAACGTTGGATGAGTAGATGCGTTGATTCTGTCGGGAAGATAAGTGTCATGCCTAATTTAAGCCTGTAATGGCTGCATCGACCACTACGGCAGTCTTTCATCCCGATTGCAACGGATGCTGAGCGCGAATGCTCATGTTGAGCTCGAATTCCTGAAGCCCTGGTCATGGAACAGTTATGCAGGCTCTGTAGTAACGAGATTACTCTAGACACAAGGCACGTGCAGTATGGTGACCGTGTTGGGCGTTTTCAGGCGGACGAGTGCTCGCCGCTCAGTCGACTGAAGCCGCGCAGCAAGAGCCTGATCCGTCGCTCCCTGTCCAAGAAGAGCCGGTCTGTCGATCGGAGGTCCGACGACTGCGGCGTGCAGTAAGCGCGCCGGGAAGCGCAAGTTTCGGAGGTGAAAGTTAGAGGGCAGTGATCTTTGCTACTCGCGGTCGCCACAAGGGGGCGGTGGCGCATTCACCGATGACCACCCCCGAAAAACTGGAGTGGAAGTGATGCATTTACTGCTGTCCAGTGGTGACCGTCAGCACGTCGGCTGTTTACGGTGGAAGCAAAGCTCCGTCTCGGCATGGATTTTGCCAATTATCCGGTCGCGGTTGGGGCCATCCCGATTGGCTGGTGGTGAGCGAGAATGCAGGACATGCGTCGATTGTCCCTGGGAAGTATACCAGCGCTCATTTCTTGCGTGAAGTGCTGTCAGATCTTGAACAGGCGATCAAACTTTTTGGCAGCGAGAGTGGACTGGCATGTTCCAAACGGGCTCGAGTTTGGAGCTTTGATATCAACATATCTAAGAAGTAACGCCACAATAGCAGGTTTACTTGAAAGTTGGTTGGAGCGATCGTGCTTCATTTTTAACGCGCTATTGTTCATACGTGTGCTCAATTATCCAAGCTGACATGTTTGCTGCAAGGGTGCCGCTACAACGGACAAAGTCGTTGAAGGACTACGCAGCACCTATATGCTCTGGGTAGCCCCAACGAATATTATTCCTGAAATGTCGGACAGACAGCGAGTGCGTGCGAAATACGCTGTCACTGTGCTATCGTCTTCGCTATTTGCGGTACAGAAGTGAAAGAAGTTTAAGTCTTTTAAGTCCCGCTCCGTGACTTTGGCAAGTACGCGTCGGGCAAGTCACTGTCTCTGTCAGCTCGCGCACGTAGGCTCAACGAGGAACGGTTGATCGTGGAACTGTGCGAGCTGTGATCCTGTTTTCCCGTGTCCAGTGTGAATCAAAATGCAGCTTCGGCTGAGCGGACGGGTGTTTGTTAATGCTGTAGTGTGGGTAGCGTTGCTGAATACTTGTCCCACCAGAGTCCGATGTGCAGCGCGGATTAAGGCCGTTGCCGTTGGGTTGAAATGTATTTCGCATGTCGTCCGAGGTGTGACGATCATAATTTTTGACGGTGTACAGGTAGAGACTTTGCGCATGTATGATCCAACTTGATTGGCTGAGGACGCGCTGTCAGTAACAGTCAGATTGTCGTAAGGTGACGTGAGGCCGAGGCGCTGTTGTCGTAAGGTGAGGTGAGGCCGAGGCGCTGTTGTCGTAAGGTGAGGTGAGGCCGAGGCGCTGTTGTCGTAAGGTGAGGTGAGGCCGAGGCGCTGTTGTCGTAAGGTGACGTGAGGCCGAGGCGCTGTTGTCGTAAGGTGACGTGTGGCCGAGACGCTGAAGAGCAGGACACGATGTGAGACTGCTTTGACGGACTTTTGACACTGGCGGATCCAAGAGGCTCTGCTGTGGCTTGGAGGTAACTGGATCAGTGTTTGCTCTTGAATATGCTGTGATCCTCCGTCATTGCTACTGTAATAGACTCGATGTAGTTGATGTCCATTGCTTTTGGCCGTCTGCGAAGACAGATGAGGAATAAACACACATCTTACCAATAACAAGTGTTTGGTGCAAACATGTGACATAGCAGAGGCGCGTGCACAAAACGCACGTATTCTGGAATTTGAGTTCAACCATTCTCAGGACTGAGTGGTCCGAGGTCAGTGTTTTTCCGAGCGGTTACTGTGTGATCGGCCGGTTCAGGGTTGTGGCAGCACCAATGTCGAAAGCCAAAATGACCGGAGTCCTCCCCGACGAACGAAAAGTTGGACGAGTGATGTGGTGATAAAAATCCTATCTCCTGCCAAATCGTTCGTAAGTCTGCTGCCAAATCGCTTGTTGTTCAACAGGTTCTGCACGACGTCTTTACCAACGGGGTCAGGAACACCGCTGCCGCTGTTTGCTCAGAATTGGCCACATCCAGCGCAGCTCCTTGCTTCTTGACCCGTTGCCATGACAACCGAGCATCCACATCTGCTCATGACAATATGGGATGTCGAAAATACTCAAAACAAGCGATGAAGCATGTTTGATTTTGACCTGGCCATGGATCACCACGACCCACCGTGCGGCGAACATTGTGACCTAGAGCTTTGTGTGTTAGTAACTTTTTCAGAGCGCTGAACAACGCCCAAGCATTCTGGTTTGAACTGTATTTGCCGCCTCCATTGGTGGGCGTCGCTACCTAAAAGGCAGCGCTGTTACTCATCACTCCACTACTCTACAGCAAATGTAACGAAAGTTATTTTAGTCGGCTACTCCATTACATCTTTTTGTTTTAGGGCGTAGAACAGTGAAACTAGCAAGGCAAAAACACGTTTTTGCACGTTTCCTAACTACTTTTTACTCCCGTGTACTGTTGGTGCAAAACTTCATATAAAAAGACAAAATCCCTGAATGCACACGAAAAGCACTACACAACTCTCACTGTGCTCGCTATAATTGCTCCACTAGCTGTGCAGACCGTGTCCTTGCAGCATATCGCATGATTGTCGTGTTAAAAAGATAGGCTTAACGAGATAAAATTTGGATTTCACTGTGCTCACTTCCGACCGTAAGTGAACTACAAACCGCTCGTATAGTGTCCAACGTGGTTACCACACCGCGAAAGCATAAAGCAAGCTTTTATAGACCAATGCTGACGTCAGAAGTGTAGCTTCCTATTCAGTTGGAGGACCTCAGTCCCACTCCAACTTGGGCTTTAGCCCCCCTCCCAAAACTTTGGGAAGAAAGTGGACAAAATCCTGGCAGCAAACTGTTTATTGACATATTTGGGGCAATCTGTCTATCCCAGTGGCTCACTTGGTTAGATCGCTTGCTTTCCGATCCACCCACTCGTGGCGGGGTGGGTTCGAGTCGCTTTAGGCGCTCGCTTTTTGCCCTCGGTAAAAAAAGATATGGCCTACGGCGCTGGCAGCGGTCGCAAGAAAGGTCGGAGGACGTCAGAGGGCAGGACGGACCGTGCCGGGCATTACAGGACATTAAAGTTTCGCCACTAGATACTGCGGTTGCCTGGAATTGCGCGATCGCATGGTAAGGGTCAGGGCTCACACAACAAGCACTGCTTAGCGCCAGCTCTGATCCCATAAATCCACCCATTCAAAGAGTTCGGATCAAATCTTCAAAAAATGAGTAATTTTTCACTTTTCAGCTCCCCAACCCCTTTTGCGAAAACACGCTCCTTATATGCTCCAGGTGGTGGAAAAACAAAAACCAAAGTCATCAAAATTTCAAATTTATATATATATATATATATATATATATATATATATATATATATGTGTGTGTGTGTGTGTGTGTGTGTGTGTGTGTGTGTGTGTGTGTGTGTGTGTGTGTGTGTGTGTGTGTGTGTGTGTGTGTGTGTGTGTGTGTGTGTGTGTGTGTGTGTGTGTGTGTGTGTGTGTGTGTGTGTGTCTGTGTAGATACTGCCACATCAATAAGAGAATGTCAGACAACAAAATTTAATATTTTTATGTCATTTTGACGAGACCAAAACACCAATGTAAATACTTTATCATGTCAATCTCATGCCTGTCTGAAATAAATGCGTAAAAAACATCTTCCTCGCCAGATTTTCTGCAACTGCCTCTTTTGTTGGCTTGCAGCCAGTCATATTCTAATCTTTTTTGGCTGTTTTCCAAAAAGTAAAGAATGTTGCTGGTGTTCTGAACGTTTGAGAGCCGCAGTCATGTCCAAGGAGGAAAACTTAGCCCTGATCACATCGCCACACAAGCATGTCATCACTGAGCTATGAAAAAAATGGCTGGGTTGGAATGCCGTTAAAGCTAAGAAAAGAAGCTCACAGATCATCAAACCAGCAGACAAACCAACCAAAGAAAAACAAGTGCTCGGGCCAGCATTTAATTTCTAGGCACGCAGCATAAGTCCGATTGCTGTTTAAATCAAATCGACCGGATGACAGACACGCAGCTGTAGATGAGATTGCGTCTTGAGGACCAAAATGTCAACAGCCTTAGGTAATTTTCAACAATTCAGAACGGCTTTCAGCTGCCTTTCTGAGCTAGCAATACTTTGTTTAGAAGCTATGAAATAGTGAACAGCCTCCCGTAATGATAACAGTCCAGAGAAGATGCCCTTGATTATTTGACGGATGCTCACTAACAACGGCCCGATGAGAACAGCCTTAGCTTCTTCACGCTTTCATAGCACCCAGAGACTTCAAGTAGCACCTGGACGGTCGGTGATTCTGTAATGGCCACAATGGTCTAAGAAAGTTGGGGATTCGCATGCGTCCAATGAGTCTCAGTGTTCATGGAGCTTGGAGGCCACTTTAAGCCGTCCTCGTATTTATAGGGCTCGTACTGCAATGGCTATATAGTCGACGTGATTTAATATGGGGATTGCTGTTAGCAAAGGCTCCGGTGATCGCCAAAAGGGTCAGGGAACAGCCATTGGACTCGAAATGTCAGGGTCACGGAGGTCAGAGCCAAGCCTTTTGGTCTGAAGTCTTGCAATTCGTTACCGCAGGTCAAAATCTTTCTTTAGCATCATTAGGATTGATGTGATTAATGTGATGATAACATAAATGTGGTCCATGCTCTGAAGCCCGCAGTCGGTTACTCAATGTTTTCATCGAAAGTTCGATTTGGTTTCAGCTGATGGCCTTGAAGATGTCAGCCACCACAATCTAGTACGATTAACTATTGGCAGCAATTATTAACCTCTGCGAACGTAATTTGTCTTCCGTTTGAACTTGCCTGCCGACGTATGTCAGAAGATTTCTATGCAGCTCGCTACGCTCGATTGCAGTTCAATATTTGCATTCAAGCATTTTGGTCGGAGACTTGGGAGCCGAAGGGCTCCGAGCAAGTGGCCAGTTTTTCTTTATGCGAAACATTGATTAGGTTTTCGCTTAAGGAGCGCGCAATGTTTGTTTGGTATTGAAACGTCTTGTTCCAACGTTGGTTTAATTGTGGGAGCTCGCGCAAAGCCAGTGGTTTAACGCGGTAAAGCAACAGGGATGAGTCATCATGCTCAACGGCATGGAACAAAGCATAGTGATTGCACAGATTCTGACGTGACATTTAGATTACTTGAGCTAGCTGTCGGAGGCAGCGACATTGATTGGAAGAGTGCTGCTTACCCTCTGAAGAGCTCAAGGGGTTCGCAGTTTGAAGAGGAGGTAAAGTTCGTAGCACGACAGTAACAGTTACGAGGCAACTGAATTCTTAAGAGCATGCTCAGTGCACCACGGAAACCAATGAACTCTCCGTGAAACCCACTCACTGCGCCAACGCGTTATCGCACCGCACCCTAGGTCCGGAGCTTGGAGCTGAACCTCCGCCCTCGATCGCACGTTACCTTTGAAAGCCCCGCACCTTATTACGAAGCCATATAGTTTGAGGACTGCTCATTCTGGTGCATAACGTGTACAAAACACAGGTCATTTACTTTTCACCGGAAAGTAATGCAGTAGTAATAACCTTGTTTCTCGGAGGAAAACCAAGAGAATTAAGATATACATGCGTTGATATTTCGGTAACACACTTTTATCGAACCGAATAGCAGAAGTCAGAAGTCTTCTGCCGTTCGTTTCGGTGAAGAAATGTTGCCAAAATATCAGTGCTCTTATATCCCAACTCTCCTAGCTTTTTTCCGCGAGAAATAAAGCTGCTACTATTGTGTTATATACGTGCATAATGTTCCCCCGAATGCACTTGACAATTCACTCGAAAGTGCCTCGAATGCTGGCGAAAGGCTTTCATGTAATAGTGGGGAGCAAACTCCTTCGGATCCTTGTAAAACATAACACACATCCATGCTTCTTTTGTGATAAACAATGACTGTGAGTTTTGATTGTGACCAAAAATTGTAAGCGGTCCATATATAACATTCCAAACGTTTATTGCAATATATCCTTAAATGTGCCAGTGCCCCTTTCATAACCAAGGGCTTATAACAGCTTCTTAGGTGACCACTTTGCGTCTTTAGAGTGAATGCAAAATTTAATAAAACGGTGAAACCACCTTAGCAGAGCAAAAGGATGTGATGATCGATAGTTGAATAAGTTTCGAACAGTCAGATCATAAGCGTTATTGCCTGCAGGTGAGGAGGTTGCTTGCCTAGTATAATTTTGAACGGCGGGATCATCAGGCGCCAATAACTTTCGAAATCATCGGAGGGCTGCGTCGCTGTAGGTACATGCACTTGAGAGGCAGTGGCGAGGACCAATCAGCGTTCAGCCCGAGGACAGACTACCAAGGTCACCCGCGGTAACCTTGAAACCAACTGCGCATGTCCGACAGCCCAGGCCAGACCTCGAAAAAGCCCCGACAGCGACCGGTCGGCGGTAATGGCGTGGCGGAGCAGCTGGTGCTGTCTTTCGCGACCCCCTCCCCCCCTCGACTGAAGGATCGATCTTGTTTTGCACGGCGTCTCAGCGTGGTGGGCAATTATCCTGATGAACGGCCGACTGGAGAGTGATGGGCTGCGCATACGGACAAGGAATTCGCCTCAGGAGTATCGGCAGCATTACAGGTGATG